TGCCGCGCCGCTTCCCGGTAATCGCTTGCTTTAGTTTTCACTTCCTAATGTACTACTGAAAAAAATTACTGTTACTTTTTTAAAAAATGACTCATTCTTTTCCATCTTTTATCAGTTTAAAGTTGAGACATTTTGTTCTCAAATAAAAAAAAAGGATGTTAAGACGTGAAACAGTGTTGCCAGTCATTCAAGCTGGACCCACGGGTGTCACGAGGCTGCTCGCTGACGCTGTGTGTCTTTGAGGGTTTTACGATGAAACGGTTGTTTCGGTTTGTTTTTACTGCGCAGGCTGGTTCCTGAAAGCCGCCTTCAACTGTCACCCCCGCGATTTTGCCCTCCCCCTAGCGGGCACCGCAGGCTCTGTCCACGTTGCGGGTTTTATCAGTCCTGCTGGTTTTCTATTTCCTGAATCAGTAAGTCCTTCAGTTTCTTTCCCCTTCACTATCCTCTTCCTCTTTTCTCTTGAGCAATGTATGATTTAACTGAGTTCTTTTTCTGACTCTTTGAGTCCAATGCTCAATTTATTTGTTTCGGTTCCTTTTTTTAATTACTTCAGTGCGTAAGACTATGAATTACACTCTGAGCTCAACTTCACCAGTTCCTGAAATTTTCGATGTGTGAGGTGTTCCTTATCTTTATAAATTTTCTCCATTTTCATTTTGGATTTGGAGTATTTAAGAGAAGAGTGTTCAGTTTTCCTATGGTTGGATTTTTGCTTTTCTTCTTGTTTGATTAATTTCCAATTCTGACGCAGGGGTTACGGCCCACGTGTTGTGTGTGTGTGTGTGTACCAGGACGTTTTCTGTGTCAGTGTGGCATTGATGTTCTGTCAGTGTTTTGTGGAGGTTTGAAAAGGAAGGCACCAATTCTTTGGCTGTGCAGAGTTTGCAGCACAGCTCAGCTGAAGTGTTGGTCGTATTGTTCAGACCCTGCACGAGCGTGTGTCACAAGCGTGCCACGGCAAGTTCATACCCACCGCCAGCTCCGCCTCTCTGGTCGGTTCTTCTTCTGCATTCTCTGTGTTCTGCCTTTTGCCAAAAGGTGCACATCTCCAGGACACACTTGTCTCGTGGTAAATTGTGAACCTGATGCACACGTGAAATGGGCCTTATCAGTGTCTGGCATTTGTTTAGGTTTAATCTCTGTGATGCTGATCTTCTGACCTCAGATTTCTTCCAGTTGCTATTAGCCCGTTGTGTTCTGGGCGTTGTCTGTGTGGACGACACATTGTTTATTTTTTTTTTTTTCACCGAATCTGACCATTTTTGTGCGAGTAGATGCCGTTTGCATTCAGTGACACAACGGATCTACTTATTTCTACGCTTTTCATCCAGTTTTCATGTCCTGGCTTCTATGCTGAAAGCTTCTGGCTTTGCTTCTCATTCGTGGGTTTTCTGGCCTTTTCTTTGGGTCCGTGTGAGAAGGTGTGTTGTCCTGGTCACTCGGAAGGCTGTGTCCTCTCTCCAGACCTCATCACGGGACCACTTAAAAGCACGTGTACTTAGCTAAACGACTGCTTCTTGCTCTGGCGGCTGTAGGCAGCGTTTGTGGACACCCCAGAGAGACTGGATTGCTGCCAGCGCACTGTCACTTCTCCGGCCTCCTTTCTCGTTTTCGCTTTCTGAGTTTGTCAGTCACAGTGTTGTTTTTAGTTCTGGGGGTTCTCTTTATAGCATGTAAATCGTATACTTACCATCCTCCATTTACTGACTTATTAACCTTAAAATGCTGCTGGTGTATCACTAGGAAAAGCAAGAAAATGAATACAGTAAGTTTTTCCCCTACATCTTGGTTTGTTCTATTACTTTCCTTTTAAGATGCAAGGAGTTTTAGGTTAACTTCAAGGTGTCTAAAATTAAGGTACAAAGCTCCCATCGGTTTGGTCCTCACTGAAGGGAGTACAGGATCCCTCGCTCTTCCGAGTGAGGCTGCCGCCTCCTGGAGGCCCTCCACCTGCGGGCGCTGGGCTTGGCTCTGCCACCAGGGCCCCCGCACAGGCACGTTCTGCCCCCTGCTCTGAGGCCGGTGACCTTGGCTGAGGACACACCTGGTCTCTGCTGTGGCCCTGGGGCCGTAGAGTGTCTGGTGGTTGCCCCCAAGTCCTCAGGGTGGCCGAGGGGGTTCTGTTTTTACAAGGAGAGGGTTCAGTGAGCCACCCTCGGGGATTAGATGCTGGGAGGAGGGAACATGACATGAAACCAAATCCTTGTTGAAGCACGTCTCTTGCTGCCTACTTGTCTTCTGCCAAACCAGG